TTTCGAAGGCGTCAATACCATGAGTGGCAGGTGGCTGAATTTTACGGAGACTTGCCACGGTCTCTAACCCCCCTCGTTTCTCATCCGGGCTTGGGACCGGCCATTGCGGAGTTTGAAAAAAATCTTCGTTCCCAAATTGAGTACTAGCCATTAGTTTAGTAATGTGTTTCTTTCGCTTTTATGCCTTTTTGGTTAGGTATAACTTTTTTTCCAAATAGGTTAGAATACGGCATTAGTTCGCGCAAGACGTTTCGTCAAAAGTCGTTCGAATTAGCGCACTGCCAATACTCTTGTGATCGCATTTAAGTGAACCAATCAGAATGCATAGCATCTTGAAATGGTACACGATTTTGACGCTATCGTTCTTCAAATACATGTTTCTGGGCGTGCTTACGCAATCGATCGATAAAGGGCTCATGCGCCACTGATATGCCCTAATACATTAGACCTGAATGCCTGATTTGTCTGTATTTCACGTTCCATCTTGATTCCCAAAAATGTTTATTGACCCACTTAAACTTTATAATCCTCCACTATCCAGCCGTATGAACAGCGACTTTCAAATGTCTGAAATGTAGAGTATAAGCCATGTTTAAAGTACATGATGTGTCGTCTTAAAGCAACTTTCAAGCCTTACGAAACACTAGTTTAAACTTAGTTTAACTAAGTACTAACTTTAAACATTTCGTACATTGTGTATTGAAATAAATGTGAATTGTAGATTTATAAAAACGAGAGGGATTGATAAGTGCGCACAACCGATCATTCTGTAACAGGATCCGCAACGATCTTGCATATCTTAATGGTGAACCACCTGCAGGATGGACCCCGACTCAGATTATTGTATCAGTCCCCCGTTTAGATCACGAGCCTTATTACAAATCTGGCTCGTGACTTGGGTTCTGAGGTGGGGACGATTTTGTCGGGTTGTAAGATCAAACGATGCTACTTCGTAACGCGGCCATCGTCCGTTCGTTCGCAAAGGATTCGCTATCTTGAATGACTTGTGGCCAGTTGGTCACTTACTTGGATATTCTAATCTCTTACATTAGCATTTGGCACAGGATCGTGCCACTGTACTCCAAATATTATTCTTAAACTCTTCATTTCCGTTCGCTAACGGTTTCCTGTTTTCAGCTTTGTTAAGTGCTGCTGTCTCGAATCCATAAAACAGTATGTTCAGAATGCTGAGGATTTATATATCATGTATGAATATGATATTTAAATGCAGTATATAATATATTAACAAAGTTCATTAAATTTCTATGTATTATACAAAAATGGCATTTACAATATATTCTGTGCAGTAGTGTCAGCCGCAAAAAAAGTGTAAAGCATCATCTTCATCTTCATCTTCCATTGCCGCTTCTCCTTTCGGGTCAGGGAGGCAGACGCGTCAGACAGTGCTTCCAACC